CTGCCCCCATGCTCCGCGGCTTTGCTCCGCTTTGCTCCCTGTCTCCCTGCTCTGTTGGTCTCCAGCAGATCAGGGAGACGGGCAGCAAACCCCGTTCGTAACTGCGGATCTGACATAAGTCGGATCCGCGTAACTCAGGGACTGCCTGTATACAGCTTCCTTTTATCCTAACTTAAAGCAAGGTCAGGGTTTGGTTGTGCCAGGAAAATGGGATGTGCCTGAAATGGGATTGCTTCTCACAAAGCCATACAGAGAAGAGACAAAATCACCAGGGGCTGGCTCAAGGCAAGCCCCCCTGTCCGGGGCTGGCCCAGCCTCCTGTCTCCCACCCCTCAGGTGCCCTTGAGGAAGGGTAGGAAGGGGCTGAAGCTTCTCACCTCCCCTGCACCAATAGGTACAGGAACATTGCTGGCAGTTCCCCTTTGTCAAGTGAGAGGGGAAGTGCACAGCTTGCTGCATTCCTCACTCTGGCTGGGGAGTGCAGGGGGCAGACAAACCTGGACCAGCCCCAGCGGAGGACGTACACCCCACCCGCACAGCTGTGCCCACTGGAGCTAGAGAGACCATGGATAGGTACTGCTGTGGTGAGAGGAGGCTGGGATAGTCCTGTCTCCCTGGGACAGCCTGCATATTAAACCTTTCATCCCTAGCCCCATGCCAGTGCAATGATTTAAATGAAGCATGTACATTTTCATTTTATTTTTCCAAAACACAAAAATTAAGTTAAAGACCCGGGCAATGCTAGGTAAATTTTCTAGTCATATATAATACTGATTACCTACAGCATTTGCTAGAGTAAAATGCTCTAAGATTTCAGGATTTCCATTGCAAAACACTATCAGCTTTCTCTTGGCCATCCACTGCCCTTGCAGAGTTTTTTCACATGATAATAAAACATATTTAAAACACTCTTCCTCAAGTTTTCCCTGCTTTATTACAACTTACTTCTAACTTTCTTCTTCTAGAATAGTGAGAAAAATCTGCTTCACTATTGGAGTGATAAAAACATTAAAATAATTTTATCCGAAGCATGGAAAAAATTAAATTTAAATGAAGCATGTACATGCAGCTGGCACAAAATACTTTTTTTGTTCACATGTAATCAAAACAGCTGAACTTTAGAATTGATACTTTTCAAACATCTAATCCTAAAGATTTATTTGAAGGTCAGTTTGGAGAGGGAGACTGGAATGATTAAAAAATATATACGCGTCTGCCATTCATTCATCACAACTTTACTAGTTACCCTGGTACTTTTTCACTTGCGATTTCAAACAACAGCACCAATAGCTGCATTGGTAGGATTGGCAGGGGGGAAGGGGGGGGGGGGGGGGGAGAAGAGAAATCACAGCCAGTATGAGGATGGGATGAATGTGTACGAATAGGTACGTTACTTATTTAAATTCTTCTCCAAATACAGCCATACAGTATGCCACACTTTAGGAATGGTAACAGAAAATGACAGATAGTATAATATGGGAAATATATCCTCCTCCCTGATAGTCTAGCAGTTCATCCATGATTATTTCAATTATATATGCTTATCTGGGTCTTTGACAGAAGTGAGAAAGAAAAGTCCATGTAGTTACAGCTGAACAGGAAATTTATAGAAAAGTAACTAGCATTTTAACCTTCAAATCTCATGCATGGAGGAAATTCAGTCTGCATCCATGAAGTCCTTTTAGACTCCTCAATGTTACTAGGTAACTGCTCACTAAAGATTACACCCCATCCTGGCCAACACTGAGCTGGTGAGCATTGAGCCATACATTCATGACATGCCAACTGCATTACTGCAACTCATACATATGAATAAAGTCACACACACTAAAGCTGCAGCTGGCACAAAATGCAGGAGCCTGTCTCCTCAGCAGCACAGATTGCTGTGAACCCCTCAACCCAGTGCTCTGCGTTCTTTACTAGCTTCGTCAATTAATGCACACAGTCGAATTAAAGGGCTCTGCTTTGATGTCAATCCCTCCATGAGAATTATGGATTGTTATAATACTTTGGCCAGTGGTCCCCAACGTAGTGCCCGCCGGGGCATTTATGTGCGCCTGCCGAGTGACATGGGCTGGCCCAAGCCATTCTTGCACCTCGGGTCCTGGGCGCCCAGCGCATGTGCGGCCCCCACCCCTGGGCATGCAGCAGCCCCAAAAGGCTGGGGACCACTGACTTAGGCCATCATCTCTGCCCCTCAGCCAGCACCTCCCAGAACAGCTTGTGTCCATCAGAACAAAAACAGTCTAAACACAAGAGAGGATTCAGTACAGGAGACTGAAAGGAACTGAACCTATACTGAGGAGCTCATCCCCCCCCAAAAGACAAGAATGACCATGAATCTCACCATTTTCGGGATCGAATGTAGAACTCAAGTCTTTGCTTTAGCTTTTCTCAAAAGGTCTTCACATACAGAAATCCCTATTTATACTAAGAAACTACTGCGATAGTTGGGACCTGCTCAGAATCTATGAGGATGGGGGCTACATAAAGTAGCTACTTTACAGAAATACACAACTTAACCAAAGACACTGTATGCTGAGGTTAGATGATGAAACCAGACCTCAAATTACCAGCAATCAATTTTCATAGAGATGACCAGCTAGGAATCTGTCGGGGAGGGCAGGGGGGCAGGAGAGAAGCACCTCTTAAGACTGGGTACTCATCACTTGTTCTGGCTCAAAGGCCCGAAGATCTGTTGGGCTCCATGCCAGGCTTGCATCATGCAGAACGCTAGATCTGGGGCTCTTCTGAGCTCATAAGTTTTTTTCTGGCCAATGAGGACTTCCAAACCCATGGAAACACTTGATCTAAGAACAACTGCTCTGGGGGAAACTGCTGTTCTTGTGTGCCCTGATCTAACACCCTCTTGTTCTCATTCATTCTAAGGGAAATAAGCTGTAATTTGTGGAATCTGAATTTGTTCTCAAGTCTTTGATTATTTGATACATGCATAAGCAGGGACAGACACAGTTCGGGTCACAATGGAGCATCTAAGATGCTGACTAAAAAGGAGGGCATATACTAAGATCAACGATTTGGGAAAGCCAGCTACAAGGAGAATATTATGTATGCAGCAGCTAGGAAAGAACTGCTTGCATAATACACATTTGCTTGTATACTGTTCAACTGATTGAGAGTGATCAGCTCAGTATGAGAAGACTGACAGAAGGGGGAATAAAGGACTCCACAAGAATGGGTGACACAGGAAATCTAACCACTGATGCAGGAAACAAAAATATTATAGAGTGGCCTGCTAAGAAGATTGAGGGCCAGGAAGGATCATTTCCACATTGTCAACAGAAACAAGTGCAGGTATATCTGAAAAGCGATGTACTTGGGGATAGAGAAAAGGTAAGAATTCAGGAGAAAAAGCTGAGTTTCCTCTTGTGAGGGAAGGGGACAGGCAACTGAGACCCTGAGCTA